TCAAGCAATATATTCATTATAAGACTTATAAGACAAATTTAATAAAAATTACGCTATGAGGCAAGGAAAATTGACATCTTCAGCCTTTATTTAAACATCTATTCTTTTTCTTTTTTTGAAAGAATATTGCGTAGTGGAGCTTGGAGTCAATTTTTATTTGTGATAATAACGCAATGCAACATGCCAAATTGTGCGGACATAATTTTTTGGCCAGCAAAAAGCATTCACAAAACATAAAGAATGATAATAAAAATGTAAATAAAAAAATAAATAAAATAGAAATATGATAATGAGAAAATATTATATAGATAGAAAATAAAGTATCTAAAGTACAAAAAGTAAAGTATACGAAAATATAATGCGAAAGAAACTGAGGTAAAACCGAACATTTTTGCTTCTCTACTTTTATGGTAATCATCTTTAAAATGTATATGGTGTTAAACTTTTTTGGTGAGGAAAAAATACTGTAAACTTCTATGTAACACTGAGCAGCCGCCCTTGCTAATGGTTTTTTAGTTCACGGTCAGGTCCAATAAAGTTTGCAGTTCCATCCTTCATTAACAAGCTCTTTACAAAGCTACTTTACGCAGTGAGAAAATGTGAAACTGTTAAATTCAATAATGTGAATGTATTTCTCAATACTTAAGTCACTCTTCATACAGTGAACACAACAGCTGACTATGCAGACAGAATTGTGTATCCTTTATCATTGCTTTGTTTTCTCACTTAGACAACCACCACCAAAAAAAATAAAAAAAATAAAATAAAAAAATGTCAGGAAAAAGTCGACCCTTTTAAAACAAATCAGACTACATTCAAGTTATGATGAGTTCTTTGTCATCCAGCTGGTTAAATTAGATCGGTTGTGATGTTACCTTGAAATGTCTATAATTCTTCTTCTATAAGAGTTCTGAGATTGTACACATTTCATATTCTGCTGATCTTCTTAACTTAACTAATAGACACAGATGGGGGAATGTGTCTCAGCCAGTTTTCTAAAACAGCTAAAATACATATTCCCCCAATAACCCAATTAAAGAGAAAAGCTGCGCTGATCCATAGCCACTAGTTAGTTATGCAAATTAATTCCATCTATCTACATAAAGCAACGAGAGACACTCTCAGAAATTGAGCAGCTAAGGTGGCAGAGGATACAGCTTCCCATGCTTTCTGGTTTTGCCCTTTACTGTCTGGATTTTGGTCAAGCATTTTTGACTGGTTTTCCAAGGCTTATAACACGCCCCTTTCACCGGACGCTGAACTTGCCATCTTTGGCTTCTCGCAGCATACCTCTCGCCTTTCAGGCGCGTTACAACAGTCTTTAATGCTAGGTATGATCGTGGCTAAGAAACTAGTGCTTAAAAATTGGAAGTCACCCTCGCCCCCTTCCTTCCGAATGTGGATTACGGACATGGTCTCTGTCATACAGATGGAAAGGCTTCGACATTTGAGGTCTGATTCTATGGAAAAGTTTTCCGCTGCTTGGGATTCATTTCTGGGACACTTGGACAAGTTAACAACTCAATCGGCCTCCAGTGACTCCTCTAAGGTTTAGGCTGCGTATTCCCTCTGGGCACCTAGTCTGATCTGCAGCCTTTTACTAATGTACTAATGTTTTTTTTTTTTTTTTTTTTGAGTGTGTGTAGTCCGAGCCATTGTTTGTTGTTTGTTTTGTGTTTTAACTTGAACAATCCTTTAAAATAAAGTAAAAAAAAAAAAAAAAAGAAATTGAGCAGCTACCCATAGCGCATATCAACAGGACAAAATATATGCCTTTGAGTCCATTAAAGCTGCATTCAATTGACCAAAGGGCAAACCAATTGTGATTGTACAATACAACCTCAAGCAAAGATGCAGCTCAGAAAGATTTAAAAGCTTTACAATTCGCCAACATGATCCAAAGGTCATCTTCCTTCTCTCTCTTCACTGGTTTGTTTTGTATTTGCCTTTCAGCAGACGTATGTGTGCGTGTGGGTGTGAAGTGAAGCAACCCCAGATGGAAAAGACCTGCGCGCCTCTGTTCATAATGGAAAAAATTGCTCCCTTTTGGAAGCAAGGACAATAGTCACTGGAGGTCTGGCTTGCTGCTTTAGCTTCTGTTCAGGTTGTGGTTTACATGCGATTCTACATGAAATCCATCTCATTACGTCCATTGAATCATTAAAAAAAGCTTCTGCAGAATTGGCTCTGTATCTGAGCAACAGAGTCACGCTGAATTTGTTCGCCATGAGACCTGAATAAAGCAGGACAAACGACATCAGAAAATTGTGAAATCTATGTAAATCTTTTAAAAGATGTCTCCATCTAATGCCCAGTTCATTTTTTTTATCATTGACGATACTGAAGAAGACAAAATAACAAAAAAGTGATATTTTAGTTATATATAAGCAAATTAATTTTGACAGCCTTGATCACACTGTAAGTTCAGTTGTGTCACTCAAATAAAAGTAAACAAATTTGATGATAATCCTCATACTATAAAATACCACTCAACGGATCCCTTTGAGTCCACTTTTGAACTCCTACTTGCATTGGTAAAAGAGAAAAATGTCAATTCAGGATAAGATTTAACTGGTATACACTGAAATGCAATTACTTTGGGCTGTAAGTGTCAATTCAGCCCTTTCTGAGCTACTTTAAAGCGGTTTTAATTTCCCCAGTGAGCATTTGGTACACTTCACGCAAATTAATCTCCCATCATACCGCTGCACGTATTTCCTAATGTTTTTTAGTCTTCATATAACCTATTTAATCAGTGCCAATTTCTCTACAATATCTTCTCTTCAACTCCCCACCTCTGTATCTCTTTAAGAAGTGAACTGAGGTTGTCTATTTGGTGTGGCATAAGGTTAATTATGGAATATGTTGCTGTAAGTCAAATGTTATTCCTCTTGAATGAGCTGCATCGGCTTCGGAGGATTAATCAGAGGCTCAGATGGATCACATGTTCCATCACTGTGTTCGGCATCAATAAGCATTTGGTTTATTTCAAAGCTGGCACGCATTTGCAAAACTGGCTATTCTGTCAGGTTTTTTTTCCGTTATAAAAACCCTTCTGTAGAAAGGAACAAATGGAATTCACATTGTCTGCTGGGCTCATGCTAATTTTGGGAACACATGCAGATCACTTACGGTAAAATAGAATAGAGTGGGATGAGTCTGTGACACTTTTTGCTGTGAGCAAGTAAGGCGTTTTGCTGCTGTATAAAATATCCTTTATGAATTACACGTAGCAGATCTATACAGGTGGAGCTGGGGAAGATGGAGGTTTTATGATGCGTACTACTGCAACTTTTACAGAAAATGCTAACCAAGTATTTGAAGGTTGAGCAGCAAGCTCATTGGTTACTGATACTGTAGGAACCAATCAGCTGTGCCCTATAGAGAATGATGTGATTGCAAGCAAATTAAGTTAAGGACCTATTAGCTGGCGCTGTCTATAGTTTATGACAGAACATTGTATGTTTGGCTAAACCATCTGCCTTTCTGCTGTTAAAATGGTGTTCGTCAGCTCCAGTTTGTATCCACACGGCCCTTACACAGAGACTTCAGATGCCCCAACGCCTGTGAAGAGACGACTCAACGCCGCCGATATGTTATGCCCTAAATATTACATGATTAACCAAATGTATTTTCCATGTACTTTTATGTAATGCACTTTCTGTAAAGCTGCTTTGAAACAATATGTATTGTGAAAAGCGCTACACAAATAAACTTGAATTGAATTGAATTGAATTTGTCGTCTTTAAGCCCACTAGACCTGGAGATTTCAAACTGGGTTCAGAAAAATGTGTTAAAATTTATTTTAGCAAAAAATAAATATTAAATAAAATATTTATATAAACTTATCAAATGTGGTACATTAAATATTCGTAAATATGAGAACAATTAACAATATAAATAAAAATATCAAGTCTTATTTTGCTGCTTAAATCAGCCAGGATATGTCTGAGCAAACTCAATACTTTATAATTTATTGTACAGCACATAAGCAGCTACGCAAAATATCAGAACACGTGCACTATTCTCCAAAAAATTGGGGTGCAAATAGTCACTGTGCAATTTTAATCAATACCAATCGATTGGAAATAATGGAAAAACAATGTCTCTGACGTTTCAGCAACACTGTTGATGCTAATTTTGGTATTTTGAGACCGACAACTGTATGTAACAGAAAGTACAACATAACAGGAAACTACTTACAAAGAAACCCACAAATGACTCAGTCTGCTATTGTATCAACTGTCACTGAGACTTAACAAACAGAGAATTTAAACCACCTTCAATTAGACATTTCAAACAATATTCGTAGTTCAATCTATCTCCAGGCTGAAAAGACTTTTCAGTCAACCAACACTGGTACTGAATCTTTAAAACGAGTTAAAGGATTTTTATCCAAATTATGCAAATCTTCCAAGGATATTCGACACCCTACAGAAAGAACAGTTTCTGAATTTAAACAAGTTCAATTCTCCACAGGCTCACAGACCATGTGGGCCATGAAATTTCTCTCAGGGCTGCAGCTGCAAGAATCTACTTTCTTTGTAATCTACTGCCTTTAAAGCATTTGAGTCTGTGTAATTTGGCACTGAGTACTTTCATTTCCTGTGGGCTATGCATTTACTCCTTGATGGAGTGGGGAATCTGCATCCTTACCCCCAAACCAGTCTCTAGTTTGATGCCTTGAACATGAAAGCATGAAGAAATGTAATTAAAAGTACGTCAAATGATCAATCTTTGTAGATAGACTTAATTATATTGTCACCTGTGAATTAACAGAAAGGGTGGGCAGATTCAAGAATTGTCATCTCTGAGAGGGTCTCATATGCTACACCGCTCAATGAATTCCAATTACGAGAATACACTGGTCTGTGAATGTCTCAAAAGAACAAAATTAACAAGGCAGACACTTCTTTGTCTCTATACTGCCATTCTTTGATTATCTAAGGCAAATAATGACATTAGTGCACAAATATGGCTTTGGCCAGGACCCTACTTACCCTCATACCAAGCTCAATGTTCTCTCCTCCATAGACCTCCATGCCTGGGTCAAGCAGTCCGATTTCTCCAAAATACTCACGATCCACAACAAAGGAACAGCCAATCATTGCAGGTGTCCTGTTTGAAAGACACAAATACATGTAAATGAGCAGTGCATTCCTATTTATTTATGCATTCAGACAGGCAGATGGGATGATTCACCGACAAAAAAAATGATAGATTGATAAATATAATGACAGACCAATCGACATGCCGATAGATAGATAGATAGATAGATAGATAGATAGATAGATAGATAGATAGATAGATAGATAGATAGATAGATAGATGGATAGATGGATAGATGGATAGATATATTGATATGCTGATATGTCGATAGATAGATATGCCGATAGATATGCCCATAGATATTTAGATATGCCGATAGATAGATAGATAGATAGATAGATAGATAGATAGATAGATAGATAGATAGATAGATAGATAGATAGATAGATAGATAGATAGATACTAGTAGCTGACTCTGAACATGGCTATAGGAAAAGAAGTGCTAATGAATTAATAGCTCTTAGAGAGAGAAGTCGACTGGAAATTTACGAATCAGAGGTTGCAGAATCTGCCCTCTCACAGAGCATGAAAAATTTCTGTTGAGTCGGAGTGAAATGAGCCAGAAGTCATATGTAAATTATAAACTGTGTGTTAAAACAGAAATACACACCACTTTGAGAGACTGTGTGGTGAGAGTAATCATGCATACAGAAGAGAAGTGTTTATTTGTTTTTGTAAGTGTCTCTTTCTTCCCACTCCCCCTATATTCCCACTTGGTTTCTTTCTCCTCAGCGTCCAATATTAAAACAAGTCCACATATGGCAGATTGCTGAGAAGGCAGTTATCCCTATTCCCAGGTCAGAGATATACTGAACTTCTTTTAAAGAGTTTTGAATTCAAAGTAAATGTAATTCTTTGACAAGATTCTGATAGAAATGACCCTCAGAAACACCAATGATTCAGGTGTTAAAATAATAAAAGTACTTTCATAATGAGATTCTTTGATATAATTCATCAATTCTGTCAGGTATAATTCTGTCATATCAATTCTGATATGTTTAATTGGCATGCTAGAGCATGATGCCAGCAACGCTATCGGTTCTGTGTTTTTTCCCAGGCAAATGCCAAGTTCACACAGCAACAGAATATGGTTGTCCTGTATTTGAGTCCTTAATACTGTTACGTTCACACAGAGTTCAGTTTGTATGGACGTGACAACCACATTCTACATAAATGAACTCACAGAGAACCATTCTGAACGTAACCATAATGCCAAAAATGCATAACAATACAAATATATATATATATAAATATATATATTATAAGTATAAATGGCTAAATTAATTATAATTACATAAAATAACACAAATATAATTAGACAATTGGACAATATTTATTTCTGGTGTCCATGCACAGTATGTAAGTTAAAGAGAAACCTGCATGAACATATGTGAGGCAGGAGGCTAAATAAAATATTTCTATTTATTTTTGTTTTGGAGTCATACAGACACAATGTACTGGGTTTTGCAAAAGTTTGCTCACCAAGTTTACTTTTCACTTGCATCTGTTCTGAAATTTTGACTTTCTTACAAAACCTTTGGGTCAGATCTGAGGGGTTTGATGCGAACACAGCAAGGGGCAAGAATGATTCTGAACCGCCTCTGAGGCTGTCAAATCTCCACAGACAAAAGATCTGTTGTGTTTCAGGAACTCAAGATGAATTTGTCATTGAATGTAGTTTTTGGTTTGGTGCAATGCTGGTGGGTTGAAAGTGAATTGTTTGTCGGCTAACCACAGGTGGGCTGCTTTGAGAGGCTAATGAATGTACAAGCATTTCGACTCTGATCTATTATTAAGATCAAAAAGAATGAAAAGAAAAATCACATACAGTATCTAGTCCAAGTTTTTGTGTAAACAGTGCTGTCTAAAGGGAACCAGAGTAAATCACTCTAAATACTTTTGCAAATAGAAGATTTTTAAAAAGCTACATTTTCATTGCAAGAATAGTCTGTGGTATGTGGGGTGTTTTGAAAATGCTGATTTACACTTTACACTAATTTATTCCTTCTTTATTTTGGAGTTGGAATCAAGTACAGTGCCTATAAAAATATTCACACTCGGAATGTTTTATTTTCTAACAACACCGTGCCACAAAGGAATTAATTTGGCCTGTTTGTCACTCAAGAGAAAGGAAAAAAAAGTCAGACATTGTCTTTAGAAAAGTTGTGCAACATTCCTGGTGCGATGAGACGTGCTTAAAGCTCACACTTTAGAAGCAGTTGTCTATTCTTGGTTACAATGCAGTCCTGCAAGTAACGCTGTTTTCAAGGGTTCAATTCTCAGGTACGGAAGCCCTAAAGGGACATGGTAAAGGAAAATGCAATGGGGAATACAAAAGTTTTGCGAGCAAATGCAATGTTTTGAAATATATTTTGGTAACACCATACAATAAGGTGTGATTATTTAACATTAGTAAACTACTTTACCTAAAAATGTATCTCTTAAATAATCAATTCAGTGAAACAATTGGTTGCACTTTATTTTAAGGTGACGTAGTTACATTGTACTTACTCAAAAATGCACTGAGTATTATTAATTAAATACATGTACTTCTTACTATAGAGTTACTGTTAGGGTTAGAGTTTGTTTTAGGTTTAGTTACTTGTAATTATGCATAATTTACTGGGTAACACTAAAAGTTACACAATACAGCCTTTTTTAATAGCAAGCACAGTTTTCAGTTTATAGTGACCCTAAAAAGTAGTTGGACACTTAAAAATGTCTGAATTTCATTGTATTAGTGCCATATGGAAATAAAATGATACTATTCTCTCTCTCTCTCTCTCTCTCTCTCTCTCTCTCTCTCTCTTTTAGCATTTTTATAAGCACTTCATGTGCACAGCCTAGCCAAGGTGGTCTTTCCAAGGTGGTGGAATTTCAAAAGCATTCATGGCGTTCATCCCCATAGAGCGACTAATTGTGTATTTACAGACATCTGAATTGGACTGTCCTTCATTTAACAGTGAACGTGAAAATAAATCCTGCTGCAGTGTGCTATGCGTATTGGGATCCTCAGTGCTAAATAGCCAAAGGCTAGCTGAGCTGCAGTGGATACACTAAGAGCTTGGGAGAAGTAGAGCTGAAATGATTTCCAATAGCGCACCACATTGACATACTACAGGCCTGCGGGCGGCCATTTTGAACCTGTCAATATCAGCACTTGAGGGACAATGACTGTTGCCTGACCAAAATGAGATTTTGTTCAAATATTCAGCTTATATTGTTACCTCGGGTCATATATGCATGATTTTTTATTTATTTAGTTGTGAAGTACAGTAGGAATGGATATTGAGAGATCATATTAATATAAATTCGTTTGAAAAGACTCACTAATTAAGATCCTAAAGCTGTAGCTAGCATGGCGCTAGCAACACTCGCAAATAAAACATGTATACTTTGAATGCACAAATGCAAAACATGTGTTTTTAAAAGGTGTTTTGGTTCATAATTCAGAGATTTATTTCATTGTATTTATAATTAATGACCAGTAAGATTTTACTTTAAAAAGGTCTTGATTTTATTTGTGGCGTCTACTACGAAAGGTTTTCATGCTTGAATGTTCAAAAAAATATTATTTTTCACATATGTTGAGATGATTGCAGCACCTTTCTTCCCAGTCTATCAGAAACGCTGTGATTAGTTCCGGTCTCTATGAAGCCCCTCCTCCCAAAAAGCACAATGTGCTCTGATTGGTCGGCTGGACGAGGTTGTTGTGATTCGTCAACTGCTTCAAGCATGTGTAACCGGTTCTAATCGAAGCACTCCGAGCAGGATATGAACCGTGGTCTCCGGTGGGCGCTTTAGCCTAAAAACAAGGCTAAAGAACGCAACCTTTAGCGTCAGTCGGTAGAGCGCCTCTTGAGATCAGGGGAGTGAGGTTTACACGCACACCTCTTACAGGCCTACGATAGTTACACGTGTTTGGGAAATGTCACAAACCTTATCATGACACAATACTAACGCAACTCAACTAGACATCCCTCCTTTTTTGTTGTTGTTGTGTGTATGCCTTGGCCCGGAATTATTTAACTGAGGAATATTGTGACGTGTAAGAAAACTCAAGACTAAAATCGAGGCGTTTCAGAGAGTTCAGAAACCGTGCTTCCTGATTTAGAGAATAACTCCTTTTGTAGACTTATGCTCTGTAACTTTACAGACGTTTTCATAGTCAAACAGCAATATTACACACTAACAAAAGTTGAAAACACAAAAATGCACAATTGGTCCACCACAAAAGTACACTTATGAATACAGTTCTACTGGCGGTGTTCTTGCAAACATTCATTTTGTGAAGATTTGTGTCTGTACAGTTTAATATATATGAAAAAAAAAATACGTTTTAGATGCTATGCGCTAAATACAAAAATAATTTACAGTATACGTATACTTTAGGTAGGAATAGTTATAAAAGTGTATGAGATCAGCCTGGCAATGCAAATCAATAACTTTTAGGATATACGATATTTCTGGAGGAAAAAAAAAAAAACTTTTCAGTAACCAATATGAGGCATCACAGGGATCAGCTCCAGTAATACTGGGCTACAGGCCTAGTTTCTCTCTCCAAATAGCTATCAGTCAGAGGCATGAATAATGAATGGGATTTCTGCTGTCCTGATACTCTCACACAATAGCGACCTTGACCAGATTTCATACGAAATGAAAAAGTCCACTCTTTTCTGGCAGGGTATATCCATCTCTTTCAGGGGTTTAGGACTGAGCTGTAACAAAGCTCATTTAACCAAGTTGGTTTAAAGCATAAAATGGGTATCTCATTGTAGAGGCTCATGATTTGAGAATTGGAGCATGGTAGAGCTGGGCTTCAAAATTGTGGCTTCGGTATGAGACCATCCACTGATACTATGGTAGGAATTAGGGCTGGGTATTGAGACAAATTTCACAATTCGATTTGATTTCAATTCACAAGCTTGCAATTCGATTCGATTTCGATTACGATTCGATATCGATTATTTTGGATATCAGTTACAATAAATGGCCATTTTCCTCAAGGGAATCAAATCTCTTAAATGCTGTAAACTATGGGAGTCTAGTTGTAGCCTATAGACTTCATTAGCCTAATATGAAGGTAATAATGAACTGTTTTGTAGCTATACAAACACCTAAATTACACTTTTATTTATTTTTATAATAAGAAGATTATATGATGAAATATAAACATTTCAATGGTGGCTGTCATAAAAACTTGCCAGATTTATTCAAATATGCATTAAATATTGAAGAACATTAAGATTATAATGCATATGTAATATGGTGTATATATTTAGCAAAATGCTCCTCTCTGGAGTAATTTTTTTCTAGCTGACTAACGAGTTTATGTGCGTTTTCTGAGGTAAATATGACGATACATTGATTACAAGCTGTTTAACTGACGTCTTTCCACGGTTGAAACGCTGATTGAGGGAATCAATGTGACATGATACGGATTTAGATAAGTTGTACTCTATCTTTTAACACACTTTCAGATGCTCATTCATGTTTATTTCGCACGGTAACTGGTATTATTAAGCCGGAAGAGAGATCAGCGCTGCTGCTTCTGTTGAGCTGCACTAGAGAGATCTCACGCCACAGCGCCAAAACGCTATTTATGTTTTTGAATTTCTAAAGAAAATGGACGTAATTTGAAAATTGAGACTTTGTTTCATATCAATAGTAACAAAGGACAAAGATTATTGTGATTTTTTGGATGCGCGCAGCCGGACAATGTCCCATTCATTCAAATGAAACAGGATGACTAATCGATTCTTGAGATTTAAGAATCGATATCGGTTCATAAAAATGAGAATCGATTAATATCGAGAAATCGATATTTATTACCCAGCCCTAGTAGGAATACTAATTGTTTAAACATATTTATACTATCTGCAATAATCTTACTTGCATACAGTAGTACAGTCACTACAGTGACCCTATAACGTATTTGTGCACATTTAAAAATGTCAGAATTTCATTTCATTAATGCCATTTGCAAATAAAAAGTACATTTTATACAGGTGTATTATACAGGAGAGAATAGCATCATTTTATTTGCATATGGCATTATTAATATGAAATTCAGATATTTTTAAGTGTCCAAATACTGTTTGGGGTCACTGTAAACTAAATACTGTGCTTTATATATTTCTTTAATACAAATATGCCACTTGTTTTGATACGTTGCAATAAGTACTTTTTGGGGCCAAATACTTTTTAGGGGCCACCATATATATAGGTAATATTTGAACAAAAATATATTTCATACTTGTAGAGCTTTGATTGTAATTAAACTCCATTGCCTGGGAATCAAAACATTTCCATGATCTTGGTGTTAGAAATTCTGAGTAGCATAACATTGTCATCTTGCTCAGACACCAAATATCCAAAATAATGATCTCAAACTGTGGTAAACCATGGTACATGTTTTTTTTCCACACTCTTGTGAAATAACACTAACATGTGCTTCAAGGAAACGAAAACATTTATTGCACATGCAGGAAGCCAAAGCCACCTTATCACTTCTAAAATATTAATCTCTTATATCCCTGGTCATTTATATTTCAGAGAATGTCCTCATGCATTATGAAGTGGACCGCTGGATGCCCTTACCTGATGGGGGCAGTCTCATCTCCTTTGTCCAGCCAATCCTGCGGTGGGATGATGTACATGCACCAGAGTCCCCAGTTGTAGCCATGAGCTGCATTAGCATATTGCTGCACCTCAAAGGTGTTGTACTTGATATTATCTATCGCAGGGAGGATTATCCTAGTGTGATCTTCTTTCACTCTGGTGAGGATAGGCTCAGCCCTGAATAAGTGATAGAGATCAGAAAGAAAGAAGAATAAGAGAGATCGGGAGTTGAGACATATTGAGCTTTTCTTACCCCCAGTATAAATAGTGGCTGTTACATTCCTGCTACACAAAGCAACAGAAGTAAAAGCAAGTGTTAGGATGTCAGGGTGAAATGTTCTTACATTTTCTTAAAACATTCTCCAAAACGCCTATACCAGAGGAAAGCAGGACTGATGGGGGAAATCTTCTCAGATTTAATCCATATTGTCCACACAAATCACATTTCTGAATGTCATAGGAATACCAAATTTAACCAAATATTTAATGAGACTGATGAATAATTAAGGTTGTTGACAAATCACATTTTACACTGTGCCTTTTTGAATTTGTGAAAAGTAATACATATTTGTACATCACACAGTGCTAGATTGTAATGCACAAATGCCTCTGACTTTGTAAATAACCAAAACAAATTAAATGCTACTTTCTCATTCAATTCATTCATCTATAGTATACCGCTTCTGTGTTTACTTTAAAACCCATGTGGCTGTTTCCAAGAATAATCTTGGTTAGAAAATTGATTCTGTCATTTTTGTAAATAAGCTTGTATCCCATTATCACAACCAGTGTTGGTTTAAAAGGAGAACAATCAAGTCTGGCAGCGTGATCATCACATATTGACATTTTCAGCAGAAGCAAACACTAGACTAACGAGAAAACCTGCAAAAACTTTCTGGCAGTCCCTCCCATCAATGTCCTTTTTGTACCCTTTTTGTCTATATGTCTTCTGAATGTACTATATCTTTACATCCTTATGTCTCTTCCTTTGGTGTCCTTCATCTTTTTTTGAGGCCATCCTTAAAAAGCTCAATCACATTAAGGTAATGATCAACACGTAGACATGAGTTTTATAGGGCTGTGAGTGGGGCTTTCAGAAAATAAAATAGCCTACTGAGAGGCTTCTTAATGTACGTGTCCAATTAACAAGAAAAAACGGGGTTTTAAAAGGGCTGCATATTGGTATCATCTGGGACAAAGGTCTTTTTTAGAAGGAATGGAGAATGGATTTCCATGGATAGAAAGACAAAAGTTAGATAGTGTTACCTTTTGTAACATTACAACTGTCTTTATTGTCATTAATTTCTCTACTTTAATGCATCCTTGCTGAATAAAAGTATTTGTTTCTTTAAAAAAAAATCTTGCCGACCTTAAAATGTTGATGAGTATTGTATATGAAGAGTTCAGATGCAAAAGCCTCTAAATGCCATTTGAAATTTTCTTCTTTAATGATGATTTTTATCAAACTTGTATATTTAAGTTCAGTAATTTCACTTAAATAACAATTAATAGGTAATTACCATTGCCATTTAAGTGAAATTACTGAACTTAAATATACAAGTTTGATAAAAATCATCATTAAAGAAGAAAATTTCAAATGGCATTTAGAGGCTTTTGCATCTGAACTCTTCATATATACCCAGAAAAATACATATCATGTACAGTATAACAATAGGATTTTTGCCTTTTTACACAGATGAGGATATAGGATTAGAAAATGTCACAAGCCGGATTTAAATTTGACTCACTCATGCAAAAAATATAATCACTACCCTACAGTCCAAATCTGCTTCCTACCAACTACTGCAATTTGTGGTACAAGCTGCATTTAAACAGTCAATTTATACAAGATAAGGGTAAATAGCAACAACTGATCTAAAAAAAAAAATCTGTCAATCTACTATTCTACTAGAGATGTATCTACAGACCAGATGGCTGCTCTTTCATGAAAGCCTGGTCTTGAATAAGCATGACACAACACATGTGGGGGAATGTGAGGATGTACAGATACGCTAACCTTGCAAGAGAAACCCTCTTGTGAACCCATCTATTCATCTTTTTTGTCCTTGGGCTGCTGGCGTCATAACCTGGACAAGCTACATGTAAGATCCCAAAGGAGCCCACTCTGGGCTATAAAAAACCTGTGGTGAGCAGATACGATTCCACACATGTAGTCTCTATTGGTTATCCTGTTTTGTGCTGGTGAAAAACAATTCTAATCTGATCATTTGCTCAGTAGAGTATCCATAGTAAGATGAGATGCTAAGAAATGGTTTAGTTGAGTGAAAATAAATCCAGTGTGATATGTTATATAATACAAGTAGCAATATGAGGAAACATAGCATGAAAATTACCAAGCATATCAGCTTTCCCTGATTTTATCTAGGGCCCTAGTTTAACAATTTAAGGGCACAAGTGCACTTAGGGCATGTCCGAATCCACTTTTTGGTAGTTTAACGATGGGAAAAATGGTTGGCGCGCACGGCGCATGGTCTAAAAGGGTTGTCCATATTCTCGTAATGAGTAATGGGTGTGTTTTGGGTGTAATTTCCCATTCCCTTTAAAAGCCAGTTGCGCTTACACCATGGTGGATTTGCTATTTACGTGGTGGGCGTCTCCAGAGAGCAAATCTGAGAGCAATCTGTTTGTGTGCGAGGTTAAAGCTCTCAAGAAGACATCTACTAGACAAGCCAGATTCCTCCATATCTTTAGCTTTACACAAAATTCATCTTTTACATTGTAATCCTTTTATTTTTAATATTTGGTTAGTTTGTGTGCTGCATGCCCCCATGTGTATAATAAGCAGAGTCTATGTGCGTTGTGGACCCGACTATAGGTGCACATTACTAAATCCTGGTTTACACGGGACGATTTTAAAATTTCCGCCCGATTTTCCAAACTTGAGAGACCCCACACACAGTGATAACAAATCGTACAGTGTGTGGTGCGCAGCCACACGGCAAAATCAACACATGACACACAAACCGAGCATTCCCAGGTCAGATCTCGTAAAATCCCTCGAGATCAAACGTGACTTCAGAGTAAACAAAAATGGCGAACGAAGAGGATGCATTGGCAATAGTTTTGTAGTTTGTTTTTAACCGGAAAAAAGAAGTGGAGACAACGCGAGCATGGACAGCCGCCAGCTGTTTTGATTTTGTTTCCCGGTGCTTCCTCTGTGCCTCGTCACCTCGCTTTCTGATTGGCCACACTCCACAGTCCACAGGCTGCATGCTCGGTTGTCCCCGGGGGACACCACACACGAGGAGAAATCGGGCCAAAAAAATCCAACATGTTGGATATCCCCGATTTGAGATCGGAACGGTCCCGACGTGCTTTCGAGCAGACGAGAGCAGTCTTAACACGGCAGGAATATCTGATTCGATTATTTTACGATAACTGGAGCATCCTTAAGATTGTCGGAAGGGGTAAATCGGGTCTAAAATCGGCCTAATTATCCTGCCATATGGACCAGACTTAACGCCACTTTATATAACAAAAACAAAATTGCTTTATTTCAGTTGCCTCAAAATAGTAAGGTGCCGACAATGCGCATGAACACACCTCGTTTTCAGACCAGCACGCCCATGGGTTCAAATGCATTTGCTATTCAAACAACACGGCGAAGGACGTAAAAATGATAACTGCTTCGGGCTGAAACTAGCAAAAAACACTTGCATCGCGCCTGTCACTGCATTGCGTCGGATGTATGATAGGGCCGATAGTCTTATGTCACCACTCAGTGCTAGTATGCATACCCCACTGAATGCAAGGAATCTGTAAAACTAGTGTTATGAAAGGAAATGTAACAGCCCAACATCGGTTCACTCTGTCACATAAAAGAACAAAAAAAAGAGAAAGAGGGGGGAAATCATCAAAATATAACCTTACAGTATCACAGAGCCATGATGCGCACTAGAGAGTTATAAGGCTCAACTCAAAACAAACATATCAAGTGCCGTACCACAAAAGACAGTGTGAAGGGAGTAAACAGAAGGAGAAAAATAAGAAAAAAGAAGGAGAAAAAACATCTAGAATATTGACAGGAATAGGAAAATTGAAAAGTAAAAAAAATAATATGCTGCACTGCTTCCCCTAAGATGAATGTCCAATTTTAAAAACTCTGTCCTAATACTAACACAGCTGCCAGTAATTGCTAGGATTAATTACAAAAGGGACTCTCTTTGGTATACAAGACGGGGTGTGCAGAAGGGCAACAGTGATCAGTTCTTTCATTACCCACAGGACACGCTTGGATATTTCCAAAATAGATGAAAAAGCCAGACACGAAATCAGAAATAATAAATAGGAGAAAAAATACTGTATTAAAAGCCTTAAGGTTTAATAATCTTTTTTTTTTTGTTTATTCTAACATCGTTCCTTCATGTACATTTTATGTATATAATGTCTCAGACAAAAAACAAACAAATCTGCATGCATCTTAGAGTAGATACACGGTGGAGTCTAAAACATCTCCAGGAATTTGATATTAGAAATGTAATTTAAACAATGAAATCAAAAAAATATATGTATAAAAGTACATATTTTTGGATTTTTAACATTTAAAAAACAAAGGAACATCAAATTAATAATAACGATCATCATAGTTTGGAGATCAACTTTTCACTCAAATTGTTATGCTGATCATATAATTTGTCAGGAAAATGTCTGTCTCAAAAATAAAAATGAAGAACAAAATCATTCTCAGGGTCAGACAGTCTCAGTCCACAGTATATGTTCTACCCAGTGTTATTGTTAACAAAACTTACAAAAAAGTTTTAAAAAATAAGATATAGGATAAAACATTAGATAAAATAAAAGAAAATACTACAAAAACAAACTAAACTAAAATAAAAATAATTAGAGCTATATAGAAATCTAAAATCTAAAAAAAAAAAGCTAAAGATGTAAATAACACTAAAATAACACTGGTATTGTGGAATAGATGTGCAGTCAAAAACTGAAAATGTAGATCCAACCTGGGACTTTATAACATACAATCCCGCAACCCATATGTCTATCTCTCACAGCCACGTTTTCATTCATGTCAACTTAAATATGGCGCCTACCTTAAGGTCCATGGGGTACATCATAAATCACTTCGTCGAAACAATAAAGCTCTGTAGCCCATGCACAGTCTTGCACAATTTGCCGAGTAAACGGATCTCTATCACCCC